CTGCCGGAAGTGGTTACGTCCAATCCTGGGAAACTGCTTTTTCCACGATATCATGAACATAAGTTATTTCGTTGAATGATTTCACAAGCTAAATTGTGATGAAGCCAAAATGCCGCTGTTGCATTTTCTGCAGAGCATCAGCCAAGTATCACTGGATGATCCACTGTATACTTGATGATCAAATGCCAGTCAAATTAAAGCGTAATTTGTGTATAGCAAATGATTAGTAGCAAACACAGCTGGATTAGCTGGTTAACAAAAATTCAGTTAAGAAACAACATCCCAAGCACTGATTGCACACGGAGACGTTGATCTTAATCTTTCTACTGCTTATGCGGACAATTTCTTGTTTACGATAGTGCTTACTAGAGAAATTTCGAAGTATACAAGTGTCACATGATTTTAGTAGCGACTGATGAAAACTACTAAGGATGGTCGGAATTATAATCTTTGTCCGAGCGACGGCAAAGTTTATGAAGGTAGCTGTATGTTTTGTCGATGTAAACAGTTCGGCGAGGATGTGGCTGAGTTACCATTGATATTTCTACAATCCGAAAGTAGATTCAGTTATTTTAAGTAATAAAGACTTGTTGCGAATTTCTTTGCCCTTGCTATTCAGCATCCACTGCCGTGCTGCTGTCCCTATGGCTTGTGTGAAGAATGCAAACGATGCCATCGTCTGTCCTATTAAATCGAATCTCGCCCTCAACTGTTATCACAATGCCACCTCATCAGGAGAAATCTGGGCTGCCGAAGCTAAACTAATATTTAACCATCAAACATCAGCTTAGCTATTGTTAGCTATGAGATATGTCAGCTCTTTTCCGCTGGCGGACCTACGAGCCAGGCGGGCGTACATAAACAGAAAAGTACTTTGTCGCTACACCAACTATGAGTTCAGCAAAAGTCGTCATGTCTCTTACTATTTCGAGAGCTGACTAGGGCTGGCATTCCGATGAATATGCCTAAGTAGTTGATCCATTCCCGAATAATCCAGATCTCTGCCTTCATTGGCCGAGTGATCTTCGCCAATCTTCTTAAAGCCGATATTCGCGTATATGCGACGAGACATAAAAAATGTCAGAAATGTGAGCCGCATGAATTCCAGATCCATGGCTGCAACGTACTACAAAGTCAAGTACTGAACTGAACAGTCTGTTTGGGTCACTCAATTCTGCATGACTGCAAACACCCGTTATATGATTCACACGCCCGTTGCATTTCAAAACAAGGAGCCACAAAAATATGTTACATATCGATTCAAGAACTCAAAGATACAAACGATGAATGATACATTTCATCGCCCACATTATGTGCAACGTTGAAGATTAGCGTGCATAACTTATGATAGAACTTGTGTTCATCTTTTCTTTTCTCTTTTTCCATTCTCTTTTGCAGCTGTTTTTTAGTTCAAATCTACACCTATCTTGCAGCTATCTCATAGGCGCGGTATTTATATTTGTTGTGTCACGAGTGAATAAAT